CGTTCAATCCCCGATCGTCGGGCACCATTCCTTTCCCTCCGTCCCATCCCAAATCCTTATATCCTGACCTCTTCCCAGTGCTATATAGTCGTAATGGCTTGGTGCTTTGTTCTAATAGCTCCCATCCCATGTGACAGAGGTGATAGTTTAGTTGGGGATAGTTAAAGTAGTTGGGCATTGTTCCTTCATTATCTTAATCAAGTTGTTAGTCTGTCCCTTATCCCCTTAGTGGTGTCACAGTCATACAGACCCTTTCCTTAGCCCTTTCTCCTGATATTGACAGTAAAATCTTGCTGTTGGTGTTGGCTTTCTGCATCACTTTCTCCTCAGCAAGAGAAAAGAGACAGAAGTAATATTGTTCCTGATTATGTCTACGGCTGATTGGAAGACATTTGATTGAGTCTGTTTCGAGAATAAACCCATGAACAAATCCACAAGGGCCGTGACGAGGATTCGAACCTACGTCCGAGATCATCCCAGAAATGCCTTAATCGACTGAGCTACGACATGGTCAAAAAGAGTTGAAACTAGAAGTTGTACCTAACTTTGATCCTGCAGCCTCTGCGAGACACAAACCAGGGTTTTACACAACTCCCCCCTGCACTCGAGCTATGTCAATAGGCCGTTCTACCTCTTACTTCATTACACACAGAAATCACAATAGCCTGATGTATCAGATGAACAAATCCACAAGGGCCGTGATGAGGATTCGAACCTCCGTCCTTGTGGATTTGTTCATTTGATACATCACGCTATTGTGATTTCTGTGTGCAATAACCCCACATTTCCCGGTCGAGAGTTCAAAGCTAAATGACTATTACATAAGTTAAAAAAAATGGAAAAATGTGTAAACTTGGGAAATTTAAGTAAAAGTAAGTTTACTTACTTTTACTTACTTTTTAAATTTTACTTACTTTTTAAAAAGGAAATTTAAGTAAAGTAAAACAATGTGAAGGTAGAATGAGAGGTGGAGAAAACAACCTATAAAATTTGTTTTTAATCCCAGTCATCAAGACACGGGATAAAAAGTTAGATTAAACTCCCAGCTGAAATTAGATCACCAGATCAGCACCAATCGGCAAGCGGAGGCCAATAACAGCATCTATGACATTTCAGCCCCCTATTGCAAGCTTCCGAATAATTCACAGTTGCAACTCGGGGGCTGTGTGATCATCCTTAGCTTGCAATATGCAATACAGTTTTGACCTGCATACTCACACTATTTTCGTCTATAAACACATTGTCAATCCTTATTCGTTTATTTTAAATATAAATAAATGTTTATTTAGGTAAGGTACATACATAGAGATTTTACAAAGTTTGTTGGATTAATAGATAGAGCTGGTACATACAATGCCTAAAGCCACTATTACGCAAAGCGTTTCGGGCAGGCTTTATGTGCAGGCGATGAGTCACAATAACAAGTTCAAGTATGTTTATTGAGACAAGAAATACATCTCAAAGGGATAGAGTAGCTTAGGCTATTTCTACCCCCCGATCACAATAACGTGACTGAAGTATGTTGACCAGACCACACACTAATCGACTTGAGAATGGTCCAGGACGGACCGAAACGTCGTCGTCCCTTCAACTTCTAGTGTGTGGTCTGGTCAACAGTCTTTATGTCATTGATTTTAATTGGATTCGAAGACCCTTGAATCCATATTTTCTCCATTATTCAAAGTGGGGGTTATGGTATTTATTAGCTATAAAAAGGTATTTTGTTGGTTTTTGGTGTAATTCAAAAATGTATATATGAAGTGTTGTGGGTAATTGAAGCCTCCGTCGGGTATTTCACTCCGGGAGTAGAAGTCAGAATGTTTTTATTATGTGTTTTGAATTTTCTGCTGGAATCCGAGAGATGTTGTATTTGTGTACGGGGAACTGTATAACTAAATTTTGTTTTCTGCCCTACGATGAAGAACTCTGTATTCTGCAGACGAGGAGTCACAATAACGTGGCTGAAGTATGTTGACCAGATCACACACTAGAAGGTGAAGGGACGACGACGTTTCGGTCCGTCCTGGACCATTCTCAAGTCGATTGTGAGAAGGGTCCAGGACGGACTGAAACGTTGTCGTCCCTTCACCTTCTAGTGTGTCGATTGAGACTGATCCAGGACGGACCGAAACGTCGTCGTCCCTTCGCCTTCTAGTGTGTGGTCTGGTCAACTCTGTATTCTGTTTCCCCATAGAGTTCTGCATTCTGTCCCTCCGTGAAGAACTTGACTATGCACTCTAGCTATATCAAGACACACATACTTCAGAAGAAAGTTATATAGCCAAGCTTAGCTTTCTTCTCATAATAATCTTACCTTATCTTATCTTACTCTTACACACATTCTCGTAGATCATGGAAATAACTGAAGGCTTTCTATAATTACATTTTTTTTAATTGTCGTCCACTTGGAGTGGGCGATACAGCCTCGTTTCTTGCAGGTCGACGTTCGATTGCCGATTGTCCAAGGTAGGGTAATTATGAGGAGAAAGCACTAAGCTATTACGACTAATATAGCATTTGAAAGATATATGAGGAGGATATAGTGTTGGATGGAGGAAAGGAATGGTGCCTAACCACTTGGACGCTTGGGGATTGAACACAGACCTGCAAGAAGCATGACCGTCGCTTTACCGTCCAACCCAAGTGGTTGGGTATCGTTTCTTCATTAATTTTTCATATCCTAGCTCTTGTCGATGATAAGTCACAATAACGTGGCTGAAATATGTTGACCAGACCACACACTAGAAAGTGAAGGGACGACGACGTTTCGGTCCGTTCTGGACCGTCCTGGGAGCCGGTCGGCCGAGCAGACAACACACTGGACTTGTGATCCTGTGGTCCTGGGTTCGATCCCAGGCGCCGGCGAGAAACAATGGGCAGAGTTTCCTTCACCCTATGCCTCTGTTACCTAGCAGTAAAATAGGTACCTGGGAGTTAGTCAGCTGTCACGGGCTGCTTCCTGGGGGTGGAGGCCTGGTCGAGGACCGGGAAGCGGGGACACTAAAGCCCCGAAATCATCTCAAGATAACCAAGAACCATTCTCAAGTCGATTCCTGTCTTATCCTCCTATCCGCAGGCTCTATCCTGGCCTCAGATTCCGTCCATCAGCTACAGAGTCATCCTAGTTCTCTGCTTCATAATTTCCAATATATTTTAAAGCTCTAAAAACCAGTGAATCATTTTAAAAACAATGTTTATAGAGTTTGAGCAACACGGACGTAATTTGCTTTGCTTTGAACTAGGCAAAGAACTCTGACTAGTTCTTTGCCTTTGAACTAGACTTTGCCTATAGGCCTATAAGTCTAGTTCGTAGACTATCTACAAGTCTAGTTCGTAGACTATCTATAAGTCTAGTTCGTAGACTATCTATAAGTCTAGTTCGTAGACTATCTATAAGTCTGGTTCGTAGACTATCTATAAGTCTGGTTCGTAGACTATCTATAAGTCTAGTTCGTAGACTATCTATAAGTCTAGTCCTGGTCGTAGATGGTATATAGATCCATTCTGAGTCCTGAACTACATATATCTATTGAGTCCTGAACTACATATATCTATTATATTACGGATCGGGGTTATACTCTGTGATAACACGGGTTTTTAGGTACCGTTGGGTGTGTGTGTGGGGTATACCTTGAGTATACCTGGACTGGGTTCTGGGGTTTTGCTCTTCCAAGCCCGGTTGGGGGCCAGGCTTGACTTGAGATAACTTGGGGCCAGATTCACGAAGTAGTTACGCAAGCATTTACGAACCAGTACAGCTTTCCTCAATCTTTGGCGGCTTTGTTTACAGTTATTAAACAGTTAATGAGCTCCGAAGCACCAGGAGGCTGTTTATAACAATAACAACAGTTGATTGGCAAGATAATCATGCTATAATTCACACCTGCGTCTATAATTGGTGAGAAAATATCACACCAGAACGATCGACAAACACGCGCACGCGCACGCACACGCACACGCTAATGTTGAGTTGATTAACAGTTGAGAGGAGGGACCAAAGAGCCAGAGCTCATCCTCCGCAAGTACAACTAGGTGAGTACGTACATGCACGCACGCACGCGTGCACACGGCCCTTGCGGCTGAGTGGACAGCGCTCGGGGGTCGTAATCCCAATGGCCCAGGTTCGATTCTTGGCGGAGGCAGGAACCAATGGGCAGAGTTTCTTTCACCCTGATGCCCCCCTGTTACCTAGCAGTAAATAGGTACCTGGGAGTTAGACAGCTGCTACGGACTGCTCCCTGGGAATGTGTGTGTGTGTGTGTGTGTACTCACCTAGTACTCACCTAGTTGTGGTTGCGGGGGTTGAGCTCTGGCTCTTTGGTCCCGCCTCTCAACCGTCAATCAACAGGTGTACAGATTCCTGAGCCCACTGGGCTCTATCATATCTACACTTGAAACTGTGTATGGAGTCAGCCTCCACCACATCACTGCCTAATGCATTTCATTTGTCAACCACTCTGACACTAAAAAAGTTCTTTCTAATATCTCTGTGGCTCATTTGGGCACTCAGTTTCCACCTGTGTCCCCTAGTGCGTGTTCCCCTTGTGTTAAATAGCCTGTGTTTATAGTGCATTGTGTGTGTGTGTGTTTTAAGAGAGAAATATATTCATAGTGCACATAATGGATGAAAAATATATTGCTTAGAAAGGAGGGGTCCAAGAGCTAATAACTCGACTCTGCAGACACATATAGTGAGTACAAATAGTAAATACACACACACACACACACACACACACACACACACACACACACACACACACACACACACACACACACACACACACACACAGACACACACACACACACACACACACACACACACACACACACACACACACACACACACACACACACACTGTAAAGAAATTAACACCCACATCATCCCCCTCCCCCCCCAACATGACCATACCCCAACATACCATGCCACATTTCCCATGTTTATCAACATAATCACCCCAGAAAAGCACACACACAACTCATACCCCTCATCATTCCATTACCTTCAATGCATTAACTCTTCGTGCTGCAAATCATCTTGCAGAAGGCAGCTATTCCACTGTGCAATCGTCGTCTTAAAACCCAGAAATCGGGTTCTGTCAATATTAATATTTCCACAATACCTTTAATTATACATTTTCAAGAGGACTGTATCAGCGCCGAGCCGTCACAAGATCTATCAGGCCAGCTGTTACACAATAGATTTTCTTACGTATTGGAAAGCACCTAAAACTCAAATCCTCTTGAATATATGTTGTAACTTGTCAATCACGTTAATATCGGTTCTATTCAAGCAATATTCGCTTTGAAGACAGGGGACTTTTCTTTAAGATGATTCAAAGTAGTTACTATCTCGAACACCAGCTGCGATGTTTGTCTACACAAGCACAATTCGGGGTGATTAATGGTGATTGAAATGGCTTTTAAGGGCGGGGCTGCGTCTGGGAAGAAAGGGACACACTCGGTGCCCTCTTGAAGAGGAGATAAACTCGCAAAACTCGCAGCTCTTCCTCTCAGTCACAGCACTGAGCGGATACTGAGCACTCCTTCCTCGCTCTACCTACAGGCCGGGAGGATGCTCACGCGCACACGCACGCTCCCCCGCCCCCCACCCCCCTCCCACCACCCCCCACCCTTTCTCTCTTTACACACAAACTCTATGCACATGTAATTTTGATAGATTCATGGCAGTTCATCAACCCAAAGGCTATGGGTACATTCTCAATGCTCTAGACTATTTTGAGTATGAGTTACTCATGAGTATGAGTGAGTTAGAGAGTATGGATTACTGACCCATAATATGGTTACTGTCTTGAAGGAGATGGGGTCTATGTGGGTCATCAATATAATTCCTGCAAAAAAAATCAATATGATTAAGGTGTTTCGCCAATTTTTGGATATTATAGATGTAAACAATTCTGGTTCTTGTTGTTCCTACTCCCTCTTCTTCCTCCTTATTCTTATTCTTCATTTGTCTTCTGCCAAATTGTTCTTATCGCTTCCCTTCATTCTTTTTCTTCCGTCTTATTGTTCTTCAATTTCATTTCTTCCTGATTTTTTTTATCTGCTCATTTCCCCTTATTCCCCAAAACACATACACATAAGAGGAAAAATAGATTGGTTAGAAAGGCGGGGTCCAAGAGCTAAATCCCTCGATTCTACAGCCACAATAGCAAATACAAATCATAAACACACACACACACATTTAAGAAGTCAGGATGTGTATCTGAGACAATTCTGCTCTTAAAATTATATAAATCAGAGAATTGTAGACTTGGAATCGAAGAAGAGAGAACCTGGAAAGAATGAGAAACTGAAAATACAAGCCAGAAACTAGACGGGAAACACAGCTTTAGATTGGACGGAGTTATGGATAGTTAAATTGGTCCAAGATGCAGGCCTGGAAATGCGAATGGAGGTGTTCCAGTGGTCCAGAAGGCATTTCTGTATGTCTGGAAATGTGACAGTAGGTGTTCCAGTGGTCCAGAAGGCATTTCTGTATGTCTGGAAATGTGACAGTAGGTGTTCCAGTGGTCCAGAAGGCATTTCTGTATGTCTGGAAATGTGACAGTAGGTGTTCCAGTGGATCACAAGGCATGTCTGTCTGTCTGTAAGTGTGACAGTAGGTGTTCCAGTGGTTCAGAAAGCATGTCTGTCTGTCTGTAAGTGTGACAGTAGGTGTTCCAGTGGTTCAGAAAGCATGTCTGTCTGTCTGGAAGTGTGACAGTAGGTGTTCCAGTGGTTCACAAGGCATGTCTGTCTGAAAATGTGACAGTAGGTATTCCAGTGGTTCAGAAAGCATGTCTGTCTATCTGTAAGTGTGACAGGAGGTGTTCCAGTGGTCCAAAAGGCATGTCTGTCTATCTGTAAGTGTGACAGTAGGTGTTCCAGTACTCACCTAGTTGTACTCACCTAGTTGTGTTTGCGGGGGTTGAGCTCTGGGTCTTTGGTCCCGCCTCTCAACCGTCAATCAACAGGTGTACAGATTCCTGAGCCTATCGGGCTCTGTCATATCTACACTTGAAACTGTGGTTCACAAGGCATGTCTGTCTGTCTGGAAGTGTGACAGTAGGTGTTTCCATGTTCCAAGAGGCACGTTTGGAAGTAAACAATTCAGGAGCTTTGAAGCACTATGAGGTTGTTTATAAAACGTATAACCTTTAATTATGAAGTTCCGAAGCTCGTAAACAATTTAGTATATGTAAACAAAGCCGCCATGGTCGATGAAAGATGCACTGGTTTCGTAAGTGGCTGAATAAATGCTTCATGAATCCTGTTCCCAGGACATGAGTCTGGAAACTGGTCTCCATACGATCTTCAAGATGAGTCACGTTGATGTTATCATCAGTCCTTTAAGTAAGATTGAACTTTGAAGCTTGATACTCTTTCCTATTATATAAATGAATGCAAAAATGTAATCCTCTTTTATATATATAATTTAAAAGATAATATATCATGCCTTTTAATTGAGACAAGTTCTCAATATTATCATCACGTACAGCGATCGTAATGAGCCACAGAGATATTAGAAATAACTTTTTCAGTGTCAGAGTGGTTGACAAATGGAATGCATTAGGCAGTGCTGTGGTGGAGGCTGACTCCATACACAGTTTCAAGTGTAGATATGATAGAGCCCAATAGGCTCAGGAACCTGTACACCAGTTGATTGACAGTTGAGTTGCCCCTGTTGACACACTGTTTTCAGCAAGGGTCACATGGGCCAGGGGCCAGATTCACGAAGCAGTTACGCAAGCACTTACGAACGTGTACATCTTCCCTCAATCATTGACGGCTTTGGTTACATTTATTAAACAGTTTACAAGCATGAAAACTTGCCAATCAACTGTTGTTATTGTTATAAACAGCCTCCTGGTGCTTCGGAGCTCATTAACTGTTTAATAATTGTAAACAAAGCCGCCAAAGATTGAGAACAGATGGACAGGTTCGTAAATGCTTGCGTAACTGCTTCGTGAATCTAGCCCTTGATTCATTCAGCATTTATGCAACCATTTACGAAGCCTGTACATCTCTCTACAATCTTGACGACATTTTTTCATGTTTATTAAACAGTGTGAGGTTGGAAATAATATGGAGTTGTTTACAACAAAAATAACCTTGGGTTGTGAAGTTTCGAAGCTCGTAAACTGTTTATTAAATGTAAACTAAGTCACTATGATTAAAGAAACATGTGTTTTGAGGTTAATGACTACGACCATCAGGTCTAATTAAGCTCTCGTTACTAAACGTAAGATCTATAACCACCAAAGCTTTCAACTGTGATTATATCCAGCAAGAACACTTAATATGAGACGTTGCATGGAATATTGCAGTGAACACATCATGCAACCCGTTCTCGCACTTTCTTACAGTCAATATTGACTTATTAAATAAGTGCATATGTGACATACTAATTGATTGTGAATATTTTAGTTTACCTTGAAAAGCTTCATTGAAAACACCGACCTTATCTAACCTTCTTAGTATGTTAAGCATCTTATTACTTCGTAATTACAATTATTACTTAACCTATCTAAGAAATAAAGTCTAAGAAATAAAATTAACGAATTAAATGCTCTTGTCTGCACAGAAAAAATAGATATTATTGCACTTACCGAAACGTGGATGAATGTAGAAAATAGAGAACTATTAGCTGAATATCAAATATATGGATTTAAACTATTTCACACAGATAGATATATTAGACGAGGAGGTGGAGTAGCCATATATGTTAGGGACAATTTGAAATGTAGTCTCAAAGAGGGAATCAAAACAGAGCCACACACAGAAACTATTTGGATTGAATTAAACGAAAAAGCTAATAATATTATAATAGGAGTAATATATAGGCCACCAAATTTAGACAGAATGGAAGCAAAGCATCTATGGGATGAAATATCTAGAGCATCTAGATCTAACAGTATTTATGTCATGGGTGACTTTAATTTTAGCGGAATAAACTGGTTGAACAAAACAGGGAATAGTGAAGCAGAAGATTTTCTAGAATTAATTGACGATTGCTTTCTTACGCAACACATTAAGGAACCAACACGGGAAAATAATATTTTAGATTTAGTGTTAACTAACAGGGAAACGCAAATTAATGACATCGAAATAGGGAGTGAGCTAGGGAGCAGTGATCACAAAGAAATCAGATTTAGCATAGAATGGAATAGACCAGTAGGAGAAAATTCTGTTAAAGTGCCAGATTTTCGAAAAGCTGATTTTAATAGCCTAAGAAATTTTTTGGGTCAAATTGATTGGAAAAGCTTGGGTATGGGGTGTGGGCCGGTCTTGGAGCGAGACATGAACCCAGCGATAGGTGACTTAAATGGGGATTTCGATGTGGATTCAATATATAACTTATTTAAGAATATTCTAAACAAAGCACAGGAACGTAGTATACCATACAAATTGAATAGATCGTATACTAATGACCCAAAGTGGATAACAAAGAATTTGAAGAACCTTATAGGTAAAAAGAGAGCTTGGTACAAAAGGATTAAAAATGGGGAGGTCACTTTAGAACAGGAATTCGTACAACTGGTTAGAAATGTTAAAAAAGAGATAAGGAAAGCAAAAAGAAACTATGAAGTTCGCATAGCAGGGCAAGCAAAGACAAATCCTAAAGGGTTTTTTCAGTTATATCGTACTAAGACTAGGGAAAGGATAGGTCCATTAAAAACTGAGACAGGTCAAATAACAGATAGTGATGAAGAGATCAGTAGTATTTTTAATAAATATTTTGTATCTGTATTTACTAAAGAGGAACTTAACAATATGCCTTCAGCCGAACAAGTCTATGTGGGTGGGGACGAGGACAGGTTGACGAGTTTAGCAGTTACCAGGGAGGATGTTCTTAAACAAATAGTAAAACTCAAACCAAACAAATCCCCAGGGCCGGATGAAGTGTTTGCTAGGGTGCTTAAAGAATGCAAAGAGGAGCTTTGTGACCCACTGTCAACCATATTTAATAAATCAATAGAGTCAGGCAGAGTGCCAGAGTTTTGGAAAGTTGCTAATGTGATACCAGTTTTTAAGAAAGGAGATAGATCACTTGCGTCTAACTATCGACCAATTAGCCTAACGTCTATTGTGGGAAAGTTACTCGAATCTATAATAGCAAATAAAATTCGTCTTCATCTTGAAAAACATAAATTAATAATTGAGTCGCAACATGGTTTTATAAATGGCCGTTCATGTTTAACAAATTTGTTATCTTTTTATTCTAGCATTGTTGAGGCAGTTGATAGTGGTAAGGATTGCGATGTTGTATACCTTGACTTTAGCAAAGCTTTTGATACAGTGCCACATGAAAGACTGATTAAAAAAATAGAGTCTCATGGTATTGGGGGTGCTATATTAAGCTGGATTAGGGCATGGCTATACCAAAGGAAACAGAGAGTTAGTATAAATGGAATCAAGTCAGAGTGGGAAAATGTTGTAAGTGGAGTGCCTCAAGGCTCTGTCCTGGGACCTCTGTTGTTTATAATATATATAAATGATTTAGATTCAGATTTGAGTAGCAACATTTG